TTTTTAACCAACCTCAAAAAATACGCATAGGTTTTCCATTTGAATGTTTTCTTGTTTATATATTGCATTTTTTTTGTTTGAAAGAGTATATCCCCAAAATAATTCTATTATAACTTTGACAAAATTACGAGTAGATCAGTAATTTTGTTTTAATATTAAAAAACTAGGAGAACAATATTACCTAAATTATCTTGCTATGTTGGTTGTCACATGGGAACTCTAAAACATAAATGTTTATTTTTTTTAAATAAACAGGCTTGAAATTCTTAAAATAATCCTTATTATAACAAATTCAAGCTTTGTTGAGAAGGAGAACTATACAAAAAATATTTATAGTAGTATACTGATTACTCGATATTATTTACTTTATCGATGGAAAAGCAATTGTATGAGTTAGTGAAGATTTTTAGCAATGAGATTCGTTATAGTGTTTCATACCCAAAGGTTAAAAAAAGGACCCCAAATATTAAAACTCTGCTGTCCATCTGTCACCAGGCTGTATCTTATGAACCGTGATAGTTATACCGTTGAAATTTTCACAGATAATGTATTTCTTTTGGTGTTGTAATAACAAATACAAAAAAAAATGAATAAAATAATTATGTAAGGGGTTGCCATACATTTTTTTAGGCCAGAATATATTGCCATAAATAATCTTCCGAGTTTCTGAGAGTTTTGCTTAGCGCGTTCATCGTAACTTCCCTTCGTATGTCCCTCGATAGTATCACAATCAAATTTTTACTTATTATCCCGTGACCGACCCTTGCGAAAGTTGCTTAACGACTACGATCGCGGGCCGCGGCGCTTATCCACTACGCCACCGAGCTACTCTAATTTGAATTTTGATGTACAATAAACTTATTTGACGATAAGCATATTTATTTCGATAAGGATTTAATATCATCTACTGAAATAATCGCGAAAAGACGGACTAGACATTTAAATACACTTATACGATATTTTTTTTTACTTTTGGGGCAAAACTTTAGCACATGGATAGATGCCATCGCAGTGTCTTTATAAATAATTTAAAGCATTCTAAACTTAACTTTAGAAGGCATTCTTATATCTAACATCAAACATAATTTAAATCTCTACATTTAAATTATGTTTATAGATTTATTATTAATTCTGTTCAATAATTAACTGCAGCGTTGTAATATACTCAAGTATTTCAGTAGCTAATTACAACAGAGTTCGTACCTGAATAAATGCATGTATAATATTTTGTAATAAAAAGTTACAAAATATTACTACTCGAAGTCGACGTCGAGCCCAGCGTAAAAGTTCAATGAAATAATAAAAAAGGTATCAAAGCTTTTATATCATCGCTCTTTGGTGAATATTAAGTTATTTATGATGAACATCTCGGAAATACAATGTACTGAGTGAATAACTTTCTCACAAGTAATATTAGGATAATAATTCAATTTGGAACAGCCAGACGTTCACCAACAAGGTCCAATGTGTTTGTTTATATCTAAACGCTTTCGAGTCTGCACTATTACTGCTTATCAGTGGTTCGGCTTAAACAGGTCTCAGCAATACGTATGCTGAACCTGTGCGGTTTGAAACACGCATCTATCGATATTCTGAATCGCTTGTGATAATAGAAAAAATGTTCGTGGTTTTATTTCAATTATTTCCAAGCAATTTCCATGTAATGAGGTCAGGATTATGTGATCAATGGTTATGGTCTGCGATTACGCTGGTTAAACCATTTTCGCAAAGGTCAGTCATGGGATGAGTGACCACAAATCTCTTAACATTTACATGTTATTTTTGAGTTCGCTGCAGCTGTCAACAACCACAAATCCGTGTTAATGACCCGTTCTTGCTTTTAGTTTCTGTTCATATATTTGTGCCCCAATACCGACACAATATCTACGCTAATATTATGAAGAGGAAAGATTTAATTATTTGTTTGTATCGAATAGGCTCCGAAACTATAAGCCCGATTTTAAAAATTCTTTTACCTACGGGAAGCATACACGGGGTTGACACAGGTAATAATTAAATAAAACTAACGAATAACAACTAACAACTAACGAATTTAAAATTAATTGCTTAGCGCGTTCATCGTAACTTCCCTTCGTTTCCGTATAACTCTCTCGAATTTATAATTATATTTAAAATTACAATAAATAAATCAAAATTGATAGGTCCCGTCCGACCGAGAACTATATGGCAAGTAGCATCGTTTATAATAGAAGTTCAAGTTAAAGTCTATTAACTTTATATTTGTTATGAAAATAAAGTTAATAGTTAAAATAAAGTGAAAATTAATTTGAAGTGATATGTCATATGAAAGGGTTTAGTGTGTATATTTCAAAAAATATTTACTTTTTTATATTTTTATTTAATTAAATATTAATTAAATAACGATTCTTACTTAGCCGAATTTATTAATTTGACAGCGATAAGTGGTCGAAGATTATCTAAATACTTATAGAATGTACACATTTTATATAAAACTTTTATCGAGATGTAGTGGCAATAATCGAGAGTGGTTCTGGTGCATTTATTCATAGCCATTTTATATTATTCACACCATTTTAATACTCTCTATATGTAAGTCATTTGCTGATCGAGATATGATATCTTGCGATTTGATAATAATCATAATTGTTTTTAATCACCATTAAGCTTTAGACTATAGAAGCCCCCTGTTAGCCGTTATAATAATTAAGTTGAATGAAATTAGTTCGAAAGTATTCTTTTAATTTATTAAAATCTAGAATACAGGTTAATGGCGATCTCGATCAGCACATTGGGTCTTGGGCACAAGAACTTTAACGGGCTTATAAGCATTATTGTGACTCCCTCTTACAATTAATAACAACTAATACAGGCCAAATTTCAAAACGCTTCATATCCCAGCCAATTATAATGACTCAAGTCCTGTCCCTGTCGGCTCTGTATGTAGAAAACGAACTTTTGTGTTGCACTGTATGTAGAAAATGAACTTGTGGTACCTTCGTTGTGGTAATACTCCATAATACGAAAACTTTATCTGATTATCTTGTAATCAGAGCAATGTATGTGATATTGTGTAATATTTATTTATACCATATAATATTTTCTTCAATGTGTAGTAATCTTAATAGCAGACTATAATATGAGGGCTAGCAGTAACTATCAAAAGGTAAGTGCAATAGAACAATAGATGCAGGGGTGTCCAATGCTAAAGCTCTACTTTCACTGGTGCAGTGAACAGCGAGCGATGCAGACATCGGACACCAAATGCGGACAGACGGACTTGGAGCGACCCAGCCGTCTAGTGAGCCTACTTTCACTGTTCACTACAGTTTTTCTCGATAACATGATTAGTGCAAAGCTGCGTTATTTATAATTATATTGATTTTTGTATTATACTATACGAGTTATAATTACGCGTAAATGACGAGTATGTAACTGATTAGAGTCAGAGTATAATGTGTAAGATATTCTTTTATTAAAATGCTTTTTATATGATATTGTTTGGGTCATATCAGTAGGAAAGTTTTTTCTTATATAGATCATGAAAACTACATCAAATATATTGAAACGTACGTAGAATAAAAAACTTGGCTACTTCTTATATATTACAATAATCGTAGTAGCCTGTAAATAACGAATTTTTTATTATTATTCCGTGATTCTATAATATTACGCAAATACGTTATTTAGTATATCTTATTTGTCTAACAGAGAATGATAAAATAAGCATTTTTAAAGATCTAAAATAAATCTAGCTAAATACAAATTTCAGTTTTTAGCTCTACATTTGAAAACTTGAAAGTTTATGTTCGTTTAATTCAACTTATCATTGAATTTTAAGAAAAACACTAAATTCTTGGCTAATGCATTATTTTTTATAATTTAAGCACATGCATCTATTATTTCATAAATTGTATATTTATTTTGTTTCAGTTCTTCTTTATTTAATCTAAACAATGATGGTAACAGACGGTAGTGTCCGTCCGTTAGAAAAGTTATTTTTTTTACATTAATCCTCCACGGAATCACAGAGATGGATGGACTTTGAATTAGATTTAATGAAGAACATGAAATCATAATTAATATAGTAAATAATAATTTAACGAGTTGGAATCAAAAGCTACGTAGTCCATAATCTGTAAAGCATAAACAATTATATTATTTACAGTCAATTTTAAAGTAATTGGTATACACTATTACTTTTGGAAACTGAAATATATGTTTGTAAGCTGTATAATATTTATATTTCTGGATAAGATATATAAAAAAAATCCTTTACAGGTACTGTGTTGTTTTTAAATTGCTTAAAATTCTGAATTGATACTCTAAATTTTGATAAATTAATAACATATTTGAATGAAACACACTGCAGCAAAATAAAGAATTTTATTTCAGGCAACAAACGAAAGATTCGGGTTAACTATCTTGATAAATGAATAACATATTTCAATGAAGCACTTTGCAGCAAAATAAAGAATTTTATTTCAGGCAACAAAAGATTCGGGTTAACTATGTTAGCTTAAGAAGTCTATACAATATCATATGAAACATATTTTTCCTTACATTTTTATCTATGTTAATATCAATATATATCAAGTGTAAATATTGATATAATATTGAATAAGGCTTAAAGAACTTATGTTTCGACAATTTGAAAATGACATTTATCTGTTTCTACAACTTCTTTCAGATTGAAAAGACCACTGCAGGGAAAACAGTCAACGGATCGCTATCATAAGTAACCCGAATCACGGAACACTAAAATAAAATAAAAAACTAAATAGTTTAAATACCTATTGGAAAATAATAGAAAACCGCATGGCGAGCAGTACAGACGTCTGAATATGCCGTAGGTGAATCGATAAGGCTTCGCAAGCAGCCCCCGTTATCGGTCGCGGCGTAATCACTTTCGATGCAACCCCGCCACCGAGGCCGGGCCGGTGATAGCACCAGTCCGCGCCGCGCTCTCGTCGCGGCCGCCCGCCATGCTCACGCGCGCCTGAACCCCGGCCGAGCCGGGAATGGAGGCCTGCACGTTGACACCTGACCTAGCCGGCGACCAGGTACTACCCCCCACCCCGGACCACTAGACTAGTCGCCACCCGAACTACCACCCTTCTAGTTCCACCACCCCAGCACTAGTTTACAGTGCGCCAGTGATAAGTGAAACGCTGTGCTATCTATAATAACGTTGGAAGGTCCGAGAATGAGGACTAAGTGAATTGGTTTGCGAATCACTCATATAATTTATTTTATCCTAGAAAATACACTGTTGTGTTACGATTACGTAGGTATATAAAATAACTAAATAGTGTATATAAAACGCTAGCGGCATCGCTTATATGTTACTACATATTTGATTTGATGTTATGTATAGAAAATCATATTACATATATCGTACATAATTATTTAAATCGCATCTCTTCTATTTATTTAATGGTGCTTACAAAATTTAACAGGTAATTCAAAATAGATAGAAAACATAAAATAAAAAAATGATTTCTAATCATCCGCTATCAGAGCACATAAACTGTATATAAATAATATCATCAGTATGTATTTAAAGTTTTTATTTAAAGGCTCTTTTTATACGCTATTCATCGCAGTGATGTTTATTTAGGAAAAGGTACAGACAACATAAAAATGTTCTATTGAAATTAAGCTCTGTTATGCAAGAAAACATTAACTTCATATTTTGTACTTAGATAACAGGCATATCAACAATACAAATCAATAAGGAAAAGCCAACGAAAATTTGACTGGACAAAACAAACAACAACTATTAATGTTCAAAAATATATTCAAAAGATGCATAAAAGCCTTCAGCATGATTTCTGATTTAACATTCCTATAAAAGACATCAACGATTTGCCGCCGACGGGACATATTTCAGCTAGACATATACATGTTATTGTTAATTGTAAAATAATAATGAAAGTTTTAATTCAATTAACTTAAAATCAAAATAATCTTAAATACATTTTGTAATAAGGTAAAATTTGAGAAAATCTTGATTTCTGACAATATTTCGAATAATTAATTCAATTACTTATAATTCTTACTTAAACCTATAATTATCTTAATAATGGACACATTTATATATATATAATAACCGTTGATGATACGGTTAAAATCAATGCCAAAATCATTTTTTTTAATTCAAATTGGTAACAATAACTCTAATCTTTTGATAAGTCAGGACTCATATTCAGGACTTATTTGGGCTGTGGAAATATTGGCAATTACAATTAAAAATCTTAGATCATGCAATAGTTTCATGAGTTTAGGTATATGACTATTTAATTTTTATTATTGTTAGATACTGTATTGTATATTTTATCTAAAACGAAACCAATCAAGCATAGATTAAAGTTTTGTGTACTTTCTACTTTTCAAGAAAGCTATATGATATTTGATTTTACACAACATTATCAACTAATTTTTTAATGATTCTAGAAAATCAATTGCCAAGGGTATGTGATGGTTGATGTGTCGCTTTTTTGTCGCTCGCGAAACGTTAGAATTAACAAATATGAACTTACATTCAACCTGGCACTGTACACTCGACGAAATATCCGTCGCGTATTAACACAACACAAACTTCCATGAGATACTTGACGGATCTTGTGTTAGTTTTGTACTAACCCTTATACTGGAATTACAGACCTTGTCATGCTGCTCAACAATAGACTGGTAGTGGATTCGTAAATAATACGGGAAATAAGCTTGAATAGTTTTATTTAAGGAATACAAAAGAACCCGAGCGGAACTCTTCTTGTTAATAATATTGGCATGTATGTATTTTTACACTGATTATCTTAAGTACATTATACGAGTTATTTATAAAATGATAACTTAAAAACAGATACTACTATTTACAAAAATCTAATAGTGAAACTAACAATCAAAGATTACTTATGTGGCAATAATTTAAAATTACAAAATATGAACAATTTAAAATTACGTTTAAATTCATAGACATAAAAAGTTTGAATATGTAGATTCTAGGAAAAATATAAAAGTGCAAAACGCAAGCAAAGAGACCTATGTGAAAGTACTATTTTTTTTTTATTGATTTTCTCTAGTTAAATATTTACGTAAGTTAAATGTTATAAAGACTAAGAAACCGATTTATCTAAACAAACATATAATTCTTTATTCTATGGATAGGCCAAGCAAAGCTGTATTATAACTGACTTCGCCATAAAAAAAATTCAAGATAAAACCTTTGAACGGCAGAATGTTTCGAATAACATAAGCTATTATTTCGGCAGTGACCATTGACAAGAATACAGTTACAATGGTAAGTCTGCGACAGCCCGATGTTTTCCAATACTTTATTAGCATATTAACTCTTAAGGTTTTTGAAACTAGCGGCATGTTTATGACCGTCCAAGTGGATGTTAATTGACTTCGAATCTTATTTCTTATAAAAAAAAATGACTAACAACTTATAATATTAAATATAAAATTAATGAATCTCTTGTTCTTGCTTATAAAACAGTTATTACAGCAGAGTTATTGGAAAATTCTTTAACTGTACTAATTAGATTATATCGTAAACGATTATTAAAGACTTGTACACGACTATTATACGTTTTATAGTTACGCTAAATATATGTGCAATTTTAAATTTATTAATGTAAATTATTTCATGAAACAAGTCTTGAAAAGTTATTTATCTAATAAGAACAGTGATAGATTGGAAAACTTCCAGCACAAAGTTTTCATATTTGTGATATTTCCTTTATTATTCCAATTCTGTAGTTCTACCAATTTAGAAAATAAGTAATATGTTGATCGTGTAGTAATCACTTTTTTCGAATGCTACATAATGAATTTTTATACTTCGGTTTCTTATTCATATTCGTTAACCTGTCTAGTTATTAAATAAGTAAATTCTTTAGTTATATGTGATTTAAATCAAATTATCGTATTTGCGAAAACTTTTATACCTAGTGTGTTCATAATTTGTGGGACAAACTTTTTACTGAAAAAATAAAATAACATGCTAATGGTTGTTATTTTTTTACCGATTTTGATTTTGGAATGTTAACTTTTGTTTATTTGTATCGCAAATTCATTTGTTTATATTTTCTCGTGATGGAGGGAACAAAACAATTACGTACAACTGTCAATTCGCTATTTAAGGCGGGGAAAAAACCGATGCAGATTTTCCGCGAGCTGAAAAATTTTCATGTAAGCACAAATACACAATACAGCCGTGCAAATAGACAAGTTCTCTGCAAAATCGCCGAAGGAGTGGTCGACCACGCTCTTTGAGGACGCCTGAGAACATCTAAATCATTCGAGAGCGACTTCGCCGTAATCCATGTTGCACTCTGAAGAAACTCGCTCTGCAAACTAATATTTCGCGCATTTCAGTGAACAGAATACTGAAATATGATCTTAAGGTAAAGGCCTATAGCCGTAGAAAAGTTCACTTTTTAACGATTGAACGTTGTCCATTTCTGCTGAAAAGACATGATGCCAGGAAAAGTTTAACCGACAAAACAATAAAGCGTACGCAAAAAGTAGCAACGATGTCCCAGCTTCTGCACGAAACTCATCATAGCGGGGAGTTTCGTATGAAGGTGTCACTCAGCTCTATTTCTGCCAAAAAGGTGTCAAGGTAAAAGCCAAGATCAGATCAGAGCGAGTGAACCCCTGTTTGATACGTTATTTCACAATAAGGATTGGATTTTTCAGCAAGACTCGGCGCCATCCCATAAGGCAAAAAGCACCCAAGCTTTGTTGAGGGAGAATGTGTCGAACTTCATCGCGGCGGACGAGTGGCCCTCCTCCAGCCCCGACCTCGATCCGCTGGATTATTCTTTATGGACTGAATTAGTGCTCATGGCCTGTCGAAAGTCCCACCAAAACTTGGAGTCACTAAAGCGAACCCTTGTGCGAGAAGCAAAGCTAATTCCTCTAGAAAAGATTCGTGCCGCTGTTGATGACTGGCCAAATCGTCTAAGGACCTGTATTAAAAACAAAGGCGGTCATTTTGAATAAAATATATATTTTATTTTAGATTATTATCTATTTAACGGTTACTGAAAATATTAGAAATATAAGTTAGTTATTAAAAAAGTTACTCAACTTTTATTTCGTCTCTAAACTTATGAACAGACGAGGTATAAATAAAAGTTTAATATTATCACCCAAAAAGCAGCAGAGTGCGAGTGACAAAGATCAGCACACATTTTTAAATAGACTTTCTTCTCTTTCTTACTCCGATGTAGCAGGTTACAAGAAGAGATACAAATTGATTTACAGTATCTAACATAAAACTATGTGCCAAGTAGACATAATTTATTACAGCTAACGATTACTTTCTTAAATTCTTAAACAGTCGCATCATGAATTTTCAATTAACAGGTTTTTTTTATGTTCGTCCTTTAAAAATAACCATGAAGTTATTACATTTGATCAATTTTGCATTCATAGTTTTTCACATTATTGCTTAAAGTCAAGTAGAGAACGAGTGCGCACCATATGTTTAAACCCAATTGAAACCCCAAAAAAATATAACACTAACAAAAAGAAACTTAAGAAATGTGACTTACTTCGGTAATTATGTAAGAGTTGTAACTTTACTTCTCTCTTTCTCTCTCTCGTTTTTATCAAACTCTTAAGAAATTAATGCTCACTAAGTACCCACTTACCCACTTCAGTTCTGATAATTTTTAAGTAATATTCTCATCTTAGTAAAATAAACCTCTTTGCATTTTGTCACTGTACTATCTACCTGTCCAATATCAATACCTGTCAAATAAAACAGTCCAATATCATCAATGAATTGTCTTACTCACAAATCAATGGTGACTGTTATATTTATTATTTTGTGATCTGGTAACGAGAGCGGTTAAAGTTAAATATTGATACATCATACCTTTAACTCAATCAGTTTTGCCCTATTGAAACATTTTCACGGTAAATTAATTAATCTATGCGTTAGAACGCTTTGACGTTCTCCATTACAAAAAAGGGGGCAGTAGCCAAAACCAGGTTTCTGCCCTATTAATTATTGTTAGTGACACTTTATTTAATTGAAATTAATGTCTTACTTTCAAGTAGTTAATACAATAAAAAAAGTAAAATCAAATTATATATTTTAAATAATTAATGAATCATTTGAATTTGCAGTTCTTAATGCCGGGTAAGGGAATCAATTTAATATTATCCTATTTATCTGTAATGTAACCAATTCAGCGCTATTTAAAAATTCTATTTTTTGTATTAAATACAAAACAAAATTACGTGTCTCAGATATTCTATTCTTATGTCATTTCTAAAGACACTTCACTTATGCCACGAAACTTTATTACCATTTCAAGATTGAGCAGATGTCGCTTTTTGAACTAGATTCGGACACCTGTCTAAATTCAAATTCGGGTTTGGATTTTTACAAAATCGCAAGGCAGGAATTCCTATATGGAGACCCGAATGCGAGTCTTCCAAATGAACGTCTGGATTTTCTGAACTGAAACCAATCGAACACGTGTGTATCGCTGTATACTTTGAATGAAATTAACGCATTTGTATCGCGATGATTCTACGCGAGCGAAGCCGCTGGCGAAAATATAGTATTCTTATAAATTTAATAGGTGTCCTGATGTTTTCCAGATTGTCCCGGGCGACAGCCGCTGGGGTGCTCGCCACGCCGCCGGCCTATTCGACTCCTGGTTTCAGATGCAGGTCAGTCAATTTTTTTCTAACACTTGAGCTTTCTACTTACAAAAATCTTATTGTCTTTATAGTATAACGATTTATTGTTTTTTACTACTTTATTGACAATATTATTAGTATATTGGTGACAAATAATATTGTTAAGAATTTACTTTATGTTCAAACTAAAAATATATATTTTTGATTAAAAATACTAAAAATATTTTAATCACATGTTACTAAAACTTAAAAATTGTAACAAAATAAAAGTTTTAATTTCGTACATACGTATCCCGAAAAATTATTAACAATTTTTAAGTTCAAATAACTAATATTGTCAGTTTATAATATTTTGTTTCTTTAGAATAGTCCGCTTGGTAAAAAATAATACTACGGATTATACTTGAATGTAAGTTGCCTAGGTCAAATACTTTGTCAAATGCGGAATTATAGCTATAAAATTGTGTAAATTAGTACATCTTATTAATTATATTTTACCACTATTTTGTAATTAAATAAAACACATTTTGAAAGGTTTAAGGGTAACTTTAAGAGAGTAATTTCTTATGCTGCAAACAGCATAAGTTGTTTGACCCATGTAATTTATATCATCTGAAGTTTAATGTCAAGTTTCGAATGCTTTACATTTTTTTTTGTTCAATGGGTTTGAGACATAGGTCGTTTTAAATATATAATAACAATTATAAACGGTGGTAAATAAAAATATCAAAGGCATTTTTATAATTTTTTATTATTGACGAAGAGAAATTCTATTTTCCGCATGATAGACGGAACATTAGTTACAAAAAGCGACATTGGCTAGAGGTTACTAATATGTGTACCAATTTACACGGGACATCGACTACGATCATCCATTGTGGGTGACCAAGCACCGTGTCGCTCATGAGAATGCTCCGCGGTGAAACAAAAAACATATTGGTTCGATTTTTGTATCGATCTATGCAGATATGTATAATATATCTATTTCTTTTTTCGAGTTTCAATTGTGCATACAGCATTAAATGAAACAAAGAAAATTAAAATAATATAAAACTCTGGACAAGTGATTCTACGTAGGAAAAGAAAATTAGTTAAATTCAATAACTGAGACAATTATGTCCAATAATGAAAATAAAATCAGCCTGTGTAATATATAAAAAAGCTACCTTCTTGATTCAAGTATGGCGATTGATATTTTTTATAATAAAACTATAATTGGCTAAATATAATCTATGATAAGGCCGATGATCTTGATTGACGTATAAAACAACTAAGCTGCATTTATTTCACGAAATCAAATAGCATATTAATATATGGGTATGGAAAAACATCAAAGAATGTTCTTCGTTTCTTTAATTTTTTGTTATCAAGTTTCACCAATGCCGATTCGATTACAACTGTGCATAATTTAACTTTTTAAAACGTAATTACATTTTCTTCATAACTAAACACTTGAAAGATTGCGTACGTTTGCATCTAAAAAAACAATCCCCAATATTGCAAGATATTGTTTAATTCTCTGTAATTAACTAAAAAACTTGTTGACTGATAAACGTTTTTTGTAACATTTTGCCTTATGCCATTTGCTTAAGGTGTAAAATAGCTAATTTCATGTGGTCCAGTGATTTCACGACCATGACTCTCTTATCAGCGGCACGCGAGGGTGCATTCTTGCATTCATGTACCGATGAATCTCCCCTACTAATATCCTTTACGCATTACACGATCGTTAGGGTAGACAAAAACATAATAACTAGGGTAGGTGAAACTCTGGGCCAGCATATTTATTTTCAGTATAATTATAATTCAAATAATAATAACTAATACTCATCTAATTAACTTTGAAAATTTAAAATCTAATAAAAACACCCTTCGTGTTTTTCATAATTTACTTGAAGAAATGAGTCATTAAAACCATACGTTTTGATTTACTTTATAAGGAAATATATTTTAGTTTTTTGTTATTTTTTTAACACTTCCATTCTTGATAATCTAATAAAGTAACGTTTTAATTTGTCTTCTTTGTACGAAATACAAAACAGGGAGAACGCAAGACACCCCTGCTTCTTGCAGTTTCTTCGCATTACTAGGTCTCTCGCCGTGGAATGAGTAAATTACACTGAATTTGAATTTATAGTTTAGCTATATTACAGGTAAAATTAAATAGTCTAGACAATAATAAAACATCTATCAATCTTTATCTGTATTCCTAGGCTGGGTAAGCAGAATAAATAAAATATGGTATCAACTATATAATTTACAATAAACATTTTTTTGGAGTTACGAGGTTCAAAATTAAAAAAAAAAATTATTTGATGGTTATAAACGAAAAATCCAATTGAAAATACGAGCATCTATGACGGTTAAAGTTTCAAAACATTTTTTATGTTTAGGTACAACTTTCATGTGCAGGTTAGAATACAAGGATAAGGAATACAAATACTGCAGCTATTTAATCTAATATTTACACCTTTCTTTTGCCATTTAAATACCTAAATCACGTTTAAAGCCACACATTTATGATATTAAGGCTATCTTAAAAATGACGGTGGAATCTGAAATGTGCAATGCCAACTCATGCAGTTGAGCTGACCAAAGTTTTAGTAACTTTGTTCAGCTTTTACAAATACCTTATTAAATTAGTTATTTTATAATTTTTTTAAATAGTTATTTTTTTTATCAGTGATTCGTGTAAAATGATATTTAACGCATCATTAAGCTCCGCACACTGTGACATGCGCCATTGTTCTGTTTCCTTTTGATAATCGATGATTTTAGTTGCGTGTACGCAGCGGACAGTGATTTTATACAATTAATGCTAGTACACAGTCTGTGTACTATGATTGGTAATTTTGTTAAAATTATTAGTTATATAATTGCTCAGGATAATATAGTCTAGGAACTGGATACCGCAGAGGTTATGGCTTTCTTTTGTGATACAGAAGATAAGTAACTTTAGCAAGGACCGGTCATAGGACGGGTGACTAAATTATTAACTCAGAAGGCACTAAGCCCCAACAGAAAATAGGCAGGAACACAGTTTGTGTTTTGGAAAAAAAAAAGTTTATCCTTAATGCAGGCGACAGGCCTGAAATCTGTCACTACTACTTGAGAAGAGATATTGTACAGGGTCTAGTTAAAAAAATAACCAATCTTAACTTATAAAGTCAATTTATATATTATTGTATAAAATATGTCCATGTGCCCTTTATAATCTCTTGTTATTCACTCATGTATGTATAAAACTACTTAGAATGTTCCTTGGATGGGAAAAACACGTGTAAATTACTCGCGGTACACATGAGGTCTCGTTGATAATAACTAGATGTGGAAGTTGCTAGATATCGATAGTTTCACAATTATAGCAATGGACTTCTACAAGATAACGCCAGATTCTATGAAATAATAACACATTTAATAGAATTTCATCATAATCAATTAAACATCACTTTCAATTAATAATCTCTACGAATTATAAAATGCTGTCCGCAAGCGACCACGCGGCCGATTATACATATTATACATAAAAAACTTCTTTTTGAATCACCCAATCTATAAAAAAAAAAACAGAATCAAAATTCGTTGCGTAGTTTTAAAGATCTAAGCTTACAAAGCGACAGACAGACGGAAAGTGACTGTGTTATTCTTTGAGATGTTTACTGTGTAAATAATATTCATAGTATTTATACTTCTGATAATATCGCGATGTTTAATTGGAAACCCACGAAAACCATATATCTGCACCTTAAGGAGTGTAGCGTAAGCAGATGGTATACGTCAAGTCTTGCTGCTGTAGTCTATGGAACAATCCATTTTCCTTCAACTTCCTAGTGAAAACCTAGTAAGTAAAATACAATGTACTTATTTGAGAAAATAACAAACGAATAACTGATTTCCTACCAACTTTCTTAAAATACGAAATACAAACTTATTAATTTAGTTTCAAATTCATCACATTTATTCGAATGAGATTATAATATTATTCAATAGATACTTTTTATTAATTTACACGAAATATCGTACTAACAATGTGTATAACCCTTATTGGATGTCGTACCCGGAAGAATCCATAACAAACTGCTTAATGGTAAAATAAAACAACGATCCTCCCGATCAACTGCCCAAAGTGACATGAAACTTTCATTTAAGTTGAATTATGGTCAAATTAATTTTAAGCCCCATTAATGTGACAGTTTGTCTTTCTGTGGTAATCCGATATGCTTTTGGGTAAGTTGTAATTTAACTGTTTGTTCTGATATCAATAATTTTTAAAGTAGCCGATATTCACTATGTTTGCTTCCCGGCCAATGCATGCTTTATAAATGGAAATAGAATATCTTCAAGCCGTATCTCTAGCGCAGTAAACAAACAATGTTGTAATTGATTAGCATACCAATAAATATTACACTTAAATTAAGATTAGCGTACAAATTAAATCTAAATAATAATTTGTGTTTTATATAACAACTAGCTTTCGCCAGCGGCTTCTCCCGCGTGAACCCTAGGGAAATGTTAAGTGGGATAAAAAGTATCCTATTATCTAAGTCAGCTAATACCCTATCTGTATACCAAATTTCATCAAAATCCGTTTAGTAGTTTCGGCGTGATTGACCGACAAACATCCAAACAAAGAAACTTTCACATTTATAATATTGATAGGATATTATTGTATTTATTTATACACACCATTAAAACAATAAAAGATCCAAGGATGCGCATTAGAGCATATTTTATTGCTATAAAGTTTTAATTTTATAATCAAATATATTTATTCTTTATTATAATATTAATAGGATTTAACTATTATTTGAATGAAAACAAAACATTCAAAAGCGTAATTTATCATATTTCGCAGCCGTTCTGTTAGCGGTTTTAGTCAAGTTTGTTTCGATAGTCAGATGATACGCAAACTAATAATGGAATAAGTAATACGTATTTTATTTAATTCAACTAAGTATATGTTTCATTTCTTTTACGATTTACGATCTATTTTCCCGAGACTCCACCCGTGTCACGTATGATGAAGCTTC